AACCACCTCAAAATGGTGTGTTGTCTCGCACTGAATTCCAGTTTTCCACCCAGCTAAGACGCTGTTGGCTTCAGTGACATGCAACCCCTGTCATCTCCTGTGCCTCTTGCACACATGACAAGTTGCAGGGTCATATCTAAGCTTTGTCGGCGTTGTTAATGGCCATCAAAGATTCCGCCACAATACGTTCCACTGGGGTACCTATGGTCAACCAAGTGCAACGTCTTTGTGCGTTTGATCTGCACAAACTCGAATCTCTCTAGGGCCACCAGTGGTTTAAAAACTCTCTTGGCGCAGAAAGTGCCACACTCTCGAACTCACTCTCCGAGACGAGTTGGTGATGTGCCCTTCTGTAAACAGTCAACAGTTGCCGTGGCTGAAGTCACTCCGACTGGCTCTCGGTCCAATGCAAAACAATCCAGCGCCGCTGAGAAATCTTACCCCGAACATCGCCATGTTCCAAACCCAATGCCATTGTTTGACATCAGCGACGGTAAGATGTCCTGCCCATTTCACCATCACCTTGCAACTTATCCATTACAGCTCCAAACCACTGATGACTGAGTATCAATCCATGCACCTGTTGCCTTGTCAACAAACAAAGGGGAAAAAAATGTCCACGAAGTCTTTGTCATGGTCAAAAGGCTTGACCACTCATCTGTCCAATACTGCCGTCGTCCCAAAGGCATGGCCATTCGGACCTGGTACACAACGTGTACCAGTTCGATTGGCCAAACCCAGAGCACTACTCTGGCCGACCTTTCATAACGCAGCCCTCGAAAACATGGTCAAAGGCGCGACCACTCATCTGTCTCCCAGGGCAAATCAAATGAACTGGGCACAGTGTTACGCACAGCATGTGAAAACAAGTTCAAACTTGAAACTGGTTGCATTCGTGACTTCATCCTGCTGAAGAAAACTCTGAGATCTTCCCAAGGTTTCAGACTTTGCATGTGCGACATCCTTTCTGACCGACTCAGGCACCCTATGCCACTTCTGTCTGATGTGTGTTGAAGAAATAATGTGTCATGAAGAGGGCGACGAAACACGCCCTGATTTGACGTGGAGTTCAGTGTTCTGTGGTCCCAATCGAACCCTCAATCTTCCAATTGCAAAAACCAGATGAACATTCCGACAAATGTGAGAATGACTCCAGTAGTTGAAGCACACGAAAAATGAGTCCAGGTCCAGCCGATCACAGGGTTTGGCACTGGCTGCAGGCACACAGCAGGTGACATGGCAACGCGTCCCCGCTACTGAACTCTCGAAAATTGCTGGCCTCATCGCTTTCCAAGGAACGTTGCAACATCTGCCCATCGTCTCCAGGGGCTGGCATGAGCGACAAACCACCCACTCCATTCAGTGGGTCCATCCCAAGGTATCTCAAAGCTTCAAGCCAGCGCTCAATCTAGTTATGACCAGCCATTCCAATTCCAGATACTACCAAATCCCAAATCTTGAATCTGTTTGCAGAGGCACGCATGGCTTTTGTGAATCTGCACTTCCATGTCGGCATATACTATCTGTCCATCCGTCTGGGTGGCCAGCCGTAAGCAGCTTCCGTGGAGGAAGTCACTCCAGCTGGCTCTTGATTATATACAAAACAAAGAAGAACCACTGGAAACCTTGTCCCAAACTTCACCTTGTTATAAAAAAACCAGTGCAAACGCCTGACATCGGCTACTGTAAGAGGTTCTGCCTGTTTCACTTTGTCTGGCAGCTCATCCACGACTGTTCCAAGGCACCGACGGCTGACTGTCAACTCATGCAACTCTGGAAGGTGAAAAGAATACCTGCTGAACGTGGTTGCCTCCAGAAGTTACTCGAGACTGCTAGCGGAATGTCCCGCGCTTTTCAACGTCTTCAGAAACCTGTAAAAATCTGGTTCCGACAAAGGCCAAAAGTAACCCAACTGCTGCAACATGTTTCGCATGAAAAACAGACTGTTGGCGCGATTGACCAAAGTGGCAGGTGACTTACCTGTCAAGTAATCTCCAAGCAGTTCCAAACCCTCTGAGGACGTGTCTCAGGCCAGTTCTTCTTGTTTGCCGCCCAACTGTCAGACCAATTGAACACTATTGCGTACCACTTCTTCTGGGCACGCTGCAATCCTGCTTTCCTTCTCTTTGTCCACTTAAAGTCATGCCTACATGAGACTGCTACCCGAAAAATCTGTTTGCCCCCAGGCGTTTGTGTTTTTCAAGGAACTGTCACCCTTTGCCACTGGTTCATCATCCACCTGTGACAGTTTCACAGTTTTAAGCTTAGGCTCGAACGCAGGAAGTAAGGTGTCATGATGTCACTGTCAGGATTGAACAACCAAGACCACTCATCTGTCTTCCAGGGCAGCACCAAATAACAGGCAGCAGTATTACGCATGGCATTTGAAAGAAGATTTGAAAAGTTGAAATTTGTTCCATCAGAAAAGTCAACTCTCTGTGTAAAACTCTCAGGTGGTTCCAAGGCTTCTGACGGTGAAGGCACGACATCATTTGGACTTGCCGATGCGCCCGATGTCGATTCAGATTGTCCAAAAAATCTGTGAAGTCTCCAAGTCCAAACCTCCAACATGCACGAGCTTGTCACCTGTCGCCTCGTCTACCTCTCTAAGTTCCATCGCACAACCCCCCAGCTAAGCCTTTTGAGGGGTCAGCAAATTAAGTTACCCACCACCCACCACTTGAACCAAAAGAGCGTAGAGAACAAAAAATCAAGGTGATTTCCCAACGGGGTGACAGTGTTTGTGTTTGGTTTCAATTTCTCAGCAACAACACAAACAATCAACACAAAAAAGGAACTGGTAAATAGGGGTTTTGGTTGCCAGCTGTTTAATTTGCCTTACAGACAAGGCAAATTTTTTGCTGTCGAAAATAAAGTCATTATCCTTTCAGGAGTAACAACTTGCCAAGCAGCGTGGGGTGATCAGCTTGATCACACGAATCCAAGGAGTACGCAACAAGGGCTGCAATGTCATCAACCCCAAAAATTTTTAGCCTCTCCTGAAGCCCAGCTGTATGGTTGACTCCGGCAATGCTGAAGTCATCAATGACCCTCACCTTTTCTCTCTGCTGCAGCCCAAAACGCAATTGGACATCAAAAACTGAGGAAAAATTGCGATGGACGCTTTCGTTTCTGTACAAGTGTCTGTGTGTAAAAGCGTCTGTGTGTAAAAGCGTTTGTGTGTGAAAGCGTGTGTGCGTGTAAAAAGCATCTGCGTGCAAAAGCGTCTGTGTGTAAAAGCGTTCGTGTGTCAACGCGTCTGTGTGTAAAAGCGTTTGTGTGTGAAAGCGTGTGTGCGTGTGTAAAACGCATCTGCGTGTAGAAGCGTCTGTGTGTAAAACCGTCTGTGTGTAAAAGCTTTTGTGTGTAAAAGCGTTTGTGTGTACAAGCGTCTGTGTGTAAAAGCGTTGCGTCTGTGTGTAAAAGCGTCTGTGTGTAAAAGCGTTTGTGTGTAAAGGCTTTTGTGTGTCAAAGCGTCTGTGTGTCAAAGTGCGTTTGTGTAAAAGCACCATGTGTAAAAGCGTTTGTGTTGGCAGTTCCAGTGCTGGCCCGACTGGACTTGCATTGTTTCCAGGTGATTCTGGCTTGGACCTCACTTTGCGGGTGGTACAACCTATGCAGAGTGAATAGACAGTGGAGCCGCTGGCTTCGTGCAAACCCGACCTTTCAATCTGTGGTGTCGGATGTGCGTTGGGCCAAGGATCCCGAGTTTGTAAAAATCTTAATGAACCCTCAACTCAGCTCAGCGAGTTCCAAATCCTTTTCGCGCCGTTAACAAACAGGTCACACAAGGCACAAAACCAAGTGTCTTAAATTCTCTTGTTACTCGAGCCACTCTCTGGTTGAGCAACACAAAGTCACACGGACTTCTCAAAACCAAAAGACTGCTGTACCAACTGCGGATTCCAGATCAAAAGTTGTTTCAGACAACATCCTACGCAACAATCAACGATTCCGACCTAGTGTGTAACTAGTTGGTACCATTAAGTGGTTGATTTAACCAATCCAAACACAAACCAGAGGCAAGAAACCAACAAACCAGAGTTTGTGGTTTCTCCCCTCAGACTTACCCCTTTTCACCTGCCGACAGTGGCATCACATCGGGGTGTTTTGTCATCACCGAGGAGAAACCCCAAACAGGATAATAAAGAATCAACCACCCATAGCACCTTAGCTTCACAGGAGATGTTGTGTAAACAACATCGACAAAATTGGTTGCACCAAAACTTGCCGTTTCCATATCATCCAATGATGATATTCACAGAAATCTTTACAGCATGATTTGACGAACAACTTCGTGATGTCAAATCATCTTCAAATGGTCCAAAGGTGATTGAAATACTTCTTCAATGTTCCGAACGTTTCCGAAAATGTTCAAATGTTTCCAAAACCGTTCCAAACAAACTGTGATCAAATCGGCTAAATCCCTAAAGCTCGAAAAACACTCTCGTCTCATTGAGAACGCAAATTCCAGCAAAGACAGTGGCCAAAACGCAATGTCACCGAAATAGCATCCAATGAAATACCATCCATTCTAGAACATTCTCAGCTCATCAAAAGTGCAGAATCTCAATGAATACCGATGTCAAATGCAGTATCATAGAAGCATCATCCAATGAACTATTGTACCAAATAGAGGCGCACAACGGTCTAATCCCAGCGTACATCGTGAAGAAGCACGACGGTCCAATACCATATATTCACACCCCCTTTCGGCGTGCTGCTTCCAAACCCAAAACGACACATCCCACTCGAAAAGTCTTCAGTGTCTAACAGAAAGGAAGTCTCCTGTATCAAAGGCTGTTGGCCGGAGCCACATTGATCCCATTCTCTTCCAGCTGGACCGCAAAAACCCAAAGCGACACCATGTGTCTAACAGAAATTGCAATCGAAGCCAGATACCTTTGTTTCAATACATAGACCTTTCCAATAAATCAGGTCCCCTTGGAGACATTCAGAATCGCAAAGCCCATGCATCGATGACCGGAGTCACGTTGAGATCATGGCTTAACCACTCTCTTCCAAGAACCAGCTGGCTCTCTCTCAGGATCAAACTCCATATAGAGAAGAAACCCAGCCAAGTCCACGGCTTGAGACTTGTGAGTTCCATCATAGGACCCATGATACTTCTTGAAAATGAATCCCAGATACTTGTCCAGCTCAATGTCACCGTCAATAGCCATCCTAAGCAGTTCAGAATAAGTCTTTCCGTTCCACTTCGGCTCCCCATTGACTTTCGGAAGCTGGCACACCGTGTGAGACCACTCCTTCAGAGTGCAATTCTTTGGCAATGGAACCTCCTTGCGATCTTCACTTCGGAAGAGCTCACTTGGAGTAGTTGGAGATCCAACTGCTTCAAAGTCCGAATCACTCTCTCCCCCCTCAAACGCTTGGAAGCATCAGTCATTGCTGATCCACCAGACGCCTTCGGAGCCTGCTGAGCCTTGTTCAACAGTGCTTTCAACTGCTTCTCCTCATCTTCTGTCAAGCCACTATATCCAGCTGCATTCTTAGACACAGCCATGGCTTCAGCAAGTGAGGAGAGTAAAACGTAAGTCTTACTTCGGCGCTACTTAGAATCCGAGACAACACAAAGCCTAAGCCAAGAATCCAAACAGATCTCCACAGTAGCTACCAGAGCAAGGTCAGTGAAACGCAAGAAAGAACGAGACCTGCCTACCTGGCACCCACACAGACCTTCAAGGCCCGCCCACATACCAGATACACACACCTCAAACTATACATGTTCCAGTCAAAGATCTTAGACCTTTCCAACTGCAACGCGTGTCAAGTCCAGTCTGTTTCAGACAAGTTCAAAACAGTTTGCATCAAGTCCAAGACATGTCCCATGCTTCGCATTGAGATCAGTTTCAAAGTTTCAGTGCACGATCGTTTCAGATCAAACTTTATTTCGTCAGCTCAAGTTCGAAAACAAAAATCGAATCAAGAAACCTGTCATCCTCAATTCACAACAGCAACAACAAAACTATCCATCATTTCTCAATGCGTCCAAAGCACCACGAACAATCGAAACAGCTAGATTCTCATTGTAGAAAGCAGTTTCTGCCCAATCCACATCAGTCAAACCAACATGTTTCTGAGTGCAGTGACACTGTCCAAAGTCCTTGGCCAATCGACCAACCATCAACTTGCTGTTACTGGTGAACTTCAACACCTTTCCAACCGGTTCTCCGTCCTTAGCCATTGAACCTGTTGAACACAAGTGCACAGCCGCAACATGTTTATGTTGAGCTTGATTCAGAATCTTCGTGGTCATGGCATGAGTCCAGATTGCATTCCTCCATGGCAACTCGAAAGATGAATATTTCCCCAATTTCATGTATTTGGCAACATGAGGAATAACATCAAACCAAATCACATCTGCTTCAGTGGCCGTGTCGTCACCCCTGAAATTTCTTAATGGAGATCCCGAAGAACATGGTGATGAAACATGGACAAAAACCTTTGAATTTCCCAGATCTTTCAATGCAGCAACCACCTGATCAAAAACAGTTTTCTTTTCCATATTCTCAACAACACCAATGTACAGAAATCCAAACCTTCTAGCTACCTTGGAAATGCTGGAGTCCGGTTTGCAACACACCTCAATGAACACAAAACCACTCGAAATGGCCATGATGGCTCCCAGAGGAGCGTCCAAAACCTCGAAACCCATTGCTGCTCTGTGTATCCCAAAGATTGAGCTCCCCAGGCATTTTGTCAAAGCGTCAGCTGGATTATTGGACCCCTTCTCATAGTGGATTTTCAACTTTCCCAGTTCCACTCTCTCTCGAAGCCATTCAATCCGAATCTCAAGGTGTCGAGATTTTCGTGGTAAATCCAAACCTTTCAACAGTTTGATCGACGACTCAGAGTCAGTTCGCAGAACTCCTGGAATCTCACTGGAATCAATCTCCCTGAAGGAAAACAGAATTCTCCCAAGCATCTTTCCCATAGATACCATCTCCTGACTCACACTCTGAAGTGCGTACAGCTCGCTCTCCATAGAGCTCAGTGATACCAGAGCTTGATGCCTGGACAACGTTTTCAACGTACATCCCTGAAAAGTCAGAACACCTCCTGAAATTCCACGACGTCCGGTCGCTTTCAACGGAGCGTGAGACGCATCCGAGAATGCAACAATGTGGGATCCCTGAAAAACTTCTGAGTGCAACAATGGTGAATCACTTGGAAACCTAACTGCAACATTCATGTCACCTCTAAGGTATCTTAACAGCATACGCATGGCATGTTCCGTATACTGATTTGGCTTTGACTGCTGAGTCGCTAGGATACCTATCCATGCACGCAAGTCTCCACGAGTTTGGGCCATCCATGAAACCTTACCCAAAGCTGCTCTAAACCGTGCATAAGCATCAATGCTCAATTCTTCACCACCGTCTCTGTCGATGACCGGAGTCACGTCAGGTGGACCTTTGGCGTTTGTTTTGATTTGATAACTGGCAAACGTGTCATCCAGGTAGTTAGATGGAAGTGAGATCAACAAAGACTTCTCACCACGCCTCCTAGTGATAAGCCTTCCCAAAAACCTCAACTGTCCCCCTTTCGAATGATCATGTATCAAACCAGTTCTTTTCAACCTCACACTTTTCCCAACGGTATCAAAGACAAAGTCAATTGCATCAACCGATGGCCCAACACAAATCAAATCATCAACATATGACAGAATCATGCATGGTTCACCGGAAGGCAACAAACCGCTGTACAAGCAAGGTTCCAAACCACAAGAACGCAACCTGCACTTATCAACAATCGACGACAAGTACACATTCCACTCCTGGCTGGCACTCCTCAGTCCATTCAGGGCTTTACTCAGCCATAGGTACAACGCCTCCCCTGTCATAGAAGTGATGCTTGCAGGCAACTTGGCAATCACATTCCGGGAACGTAGCGGCGTGGCCATAAAGGCCGCCGATATATCAGCTGCCCCAACCAGCCAATCTCGTTGACCAGCAAAGCACAACATGGCAAACAACGCTTCACTCGAGGGAGTGGGTGACGATATTCCGAGTGACCGGGCTGATTCAGCACCCTTTGCAATGTCTTTCAAGACAATCCGAGCACGAACCAAAGTCGCGTTCTTGCGAGTAGTCACCCATCGAGATGGGATAACCCTGCATTGCTTCCTCAAGTCACCGATCTCGGACTCAGTCATCAAGTCACCACATTGCATGCAATCCAAATTGCCAGTTTCAGTTTTCATACCATCAAGAGTCAAGTCACCAGGCAACTCCTCCAATGTTGAATCATCAATGGAGCCACTGGGACACCAGATCCGAATACGCTTGCCACCAAACGAAACAACAGAACTGGAGGCATTCTTGTCAAACTTCAACGAAGCAAGAGGCAAGTGACAAATGAGGTCATCCGAGTCAGTTGTGAAAAAAGCCAATGCATACACTTCGTGCAAGTCATTGGTGGGGGTCTCAGACAACGAGGAATCACATGTCAAGCCAGATACAAGTCCAGCAATGTCAGGTTTTACATCAATACGTTTGTTGTCATCCCTGACCTCCCGATCCAATTCCGCAAGTTCCACATCAGGTTCCCGCTTCAGACCTCTTCTCTCAATCATGAGATCCTCTTCTGACCATTTTCGGCTTGACTCCAACAGATGCCTTAGGGTAGCTACCAAGGGAATCAGGTCGAGAAACACCACCAGACTGAGAAGAACTCCCAGCCTGGGACGTGCTCCCTTCCCCATCCCCAAGGTTCACATCCACCGGCTCCTGGGATTCAACCTTTGGTTCAATCTTAAGTTCAGCGGTTGGTCCAGTCAACACATCATCCTGTGGATCAAACGCAAGTGGATCAAGTTCCTCGAAAGAATCCAAGGCACCTTGACGGGTCAAAGGAACACCACTAGGAACAGAGACCTCCTTGCCAGACCCTTCGCTTTTCACCTCCTGTTCAACCTTAAGTTTACTATCAGAAGGCTCAGAGCCCTTGGCTTGGTTGAGTTCAGAACGTATCCAATTCTCATACCGCTCCATACATTCCCTAGAGTGATTCTTATTCCCCCGGGTCCCTCTAATTTCTATCTCCTTACAAGCAGAACACTTCAACGATACCCCATGTTCGTCTAGCCACTTCACAGGTGGTCCAGTTGCAGGACATCTCAAGTCTGCTGGCAAAGGAACAGAAACCTCTTCTGAAGACCTTGGAGCCTCTGGTAACCCACTACGTTCATCTACCAACTTGACAAACAAACCATGACCATCAAGAATCTCAACAGGTATGCAAAGTTTGATTGACTTGGCAACAAAACGCTGGATAACCATCTCTGAACCAATTCGGATTCTTGCAGAAACCCAAACTCCCATTGACGAAAATTCAGGATGCAAATAGACCCGTTTTACAACCCTGCGCGTGTTGTGCCAAGCGCACATACCAACAGTTTAAAACAAACTGGGAACGTCGGAACAAAACACAATCGTCATCATTCAAATCACATCACCGGAAACAAGTTCCTTCTTCCAATCATTTCCAATTTATTTTAAAAAAAATTAAATAATCAAGCAACTGCAAAAACGGTGTGCAAACGGCGGCTTCGCAGAATTGTATTAATATTCTTTTTCTGACCTCGTTGACTTATTGGCGTCGGGGGTGAACGTCGAATGGAGCACAAGTTTTTCAGTGCTCAACGTTTCACTTCCACTCAGATCACGTGGAATGATAATGTTTTATGAATATGCCAGAGTGGCATCACAACAACTGCTTCCAACACATTCTTCGAGTTGGCTCGTTCTTTCCCCCCAGAGAGGGTGGGTTATTGGGTGGGTGAACGAAAATCACCTTTGGATTTGCTGAAATTCTTGCAGCCAAAATATCACCGCATTCCAGAGTTTCAAAGACAAACGTTCAACCCACAAAACAGGTTAAGATACAAGGTTGTTTGAAAGATTTGTCTTTCCAAACAGATGACCTCGTCAAAGTAGAGAGTGATATATACAATTGGAATTCATCTCGTAAAAAGTTCCAACAGATGACATCGTCAAAGTTGAGAGTGATATATACAATTGGAATTCATCTCATAAAAGTTTCACATTGTCAAACGTTGCGTGAGGTAAAGTTTCATCAAGCAACATTTCAAACGCTTGTTCCTACAAGCAACCGCGGCGTAAGCGCTTGACATATATTCTGACAAAGCGCACCCAGCCACACAAAACAAACATCAAAGCGCCGTGGCGCACAACACGCGTGCGTTGCGCAGGCTTCACCAGGGTCACAAAAACAGCGGGATCTGCAAGCAGAACCCTTACCTTCGACAAACCTTGGCAAATTAGGATTCTTTGCAATGATGGATTCAGGAACTTCGGCTAAAACCTTACATCCAAACAGCGCAAAAGCATGATTCTTGGCTGTGTCCCCAATCACCAAGTCTCTCGGAGTTCGGTTGGACTGCTGAACAGTCGTGAAATTGTTGTGGGCAAAACAAATGTAGTTCAAACAGCACTGCAAAACTGGAGAACTGAAAACCAGAGTATGTCCCATCTTCTGAAA